AAGCTGGTTGAAATTACTTTTCTAACATAACTATATAGTGTCATTCCCTCACACCACTCCCCCTTTGCTATCCTGTACTAAGAATCTTCATTTAACACAACCTCCTTACCCCTCTTCCTCCCCCCAAATGATTACAACACTTGCTCCTATCACAAGAAAACATTATAAGTCATTCTTCAATTGGAACTTCCAGAATTGAGCTTTTGGTCAAGTATTTCTCCCTCAGTCATACATTTATTTACAATTCTTCCCATTATATCAGTTTTGCCCATTTATGGTACATGTAGCTGTGTCTGCCATTTATACAGCTGTCTTCATTGGCAACTATAAAGTGTATAACTTGTTTTTCATGTTTATGAAATAATGTAGCAATAAATAATGAAGTTAAGAAAATAGAATTTCATCATTTTAGGGGAAGCCTAGATAATTCTTAAATTTAAGAATAACAAATGAACTAAATCCCCATAAGGAGAAGTAAAGCTTTGATCTCTAGATTCCTCTACTTTGAAAGCACGTGTGTTGAATAGTTCATCTCCTATAAGTAAAAAATTGGGGGAGATTAAGCGCTTCTTACCCCTTGGGATTTTCCTTAAAGATTAAAATATCATACTGTTGACAGCATACTTGTCTCACTGGTGATCAGATGCTCATCTCAGAAAAGAGTTCTCTGGATAAAAACCAAAGTTTTTATTTCATGAAATTAAATTTTGTGAGATATTAGGGAAAGGAAAAGTAAAAGAAATTCTTGTTGGAACACATTTCTAAGACATCTCAATAACCTGGCAATTTCCCTTAGCTGAGATAGCAATTACCTTTCTTCTCAAAATGGCTTATTTTTTTCTGTCATCAAAGTTCCGTCAAGGAAAAACCTGTTATGCTATGTTGGTTTAGCTCTGTGGATATAAGCACTGATGACATTTATCAAAAAGCAGTATATGAAGATGATTAAAGGTTTTTATAAGGATTTGAGATACATTTTTCCTTAGTAAATAATTTATTTTCAATAACTGGTGGTAGGATTATTTTCTATAATTTTCAGTATAAATTATGGGGAACACTAGAATCAGAATCTACCTTCATTGAGAATGTAACTAAATAATCATAAACCATAGATTTTTGAGCCCAGCAAACAAATGTACTTAAGTTTATGATGATAATTAATGGTCTCTGACTTTTTTTTTTTGTTTTTGTTTTTTGAGACAGGGTTTCACTATGTAGTTGAGATTGACCTGAAACTCACTAGGTAGTGCAGGCTGGTCTGGAACTCACAGTGATCCTCCTGCCTCAGCCTCCCAAGTACTAGGATTACAGGTGTGCGCCACCACGCCTGGCTTGGTCTCTGAAGTTTAGTAGCCACTGACAAGATGATTTGATTTTCTGCTTGAAGTATAGCTAGAGTGTAATTCAAACTACTTTAAATATTTAAATACATCTTGTGAAATTGTTTTAAAGAACTGATAACTTAGGTGGGTGTTTGCTGGGGCCAGGAGAAAATGCAGGAGCCAGGGTTATGTATGGGGCTGATGGTGTACTCTGCTCTGTGTGTTTCTGTGATGTTTGAGTTTTACAACAGTCATTATTTTTATTATTTTAAACGATGTAAAATAAAAAATAATGTAATTATTACTATTCATTTATAACCAATTCCAGATAATTTTTGGTTCAATTCATTGAAATAGCAACTTTTTTTTAATGTGCAGTTTACCTTTCCTTTATTTGTTTGTTTGTTTATTTATTTATTTTTGTACTGGGGATCAAACTTGGGGCCTTACTCTTGCAAGGAAGGCCATCTGGCCCTTTCCTTTTTTTTTCTATTACTGTGTCTTGCATTCCTTGGTGATTTTAGATTGATATCTTTGGCTTTTTTGTTTTATTTTTTTGTGTTTTTTTGTTTTTTTTGCATTGGGGATCGAATTCAGGCGAGGCAGGCAGCAGAACCACTGAGCTAAATCCCTGGCCCTCTATGGCTTTTTTGAGTAGACAGAATTTTACATTTGAGTTGTAATTTTTTTTTTTTAGTAGGGAAAAGACAAGCTACTTACTGTTTTTTTTTTTTTTTTTTGGTACCGGGGATTGAACTCGGGTCCTTGCGCTTGAGAGGCAGGTAGCAGAACCACTGAGCTAAATCCCCAGCCCTAGGCAAGCTACTTTCTAAAGGCTAGTACAGCTACTTTCATTTGTTTATGTTAACAGCTTAATAATATGCCTTCTTGGTTGAATACATTAAATTACTCCTAAGAGAATTTGGGAATGAATAAAGAATGATGGTGTAATCTCACCTTGGGGGGTGGTTGTGTGAAATGTGAGAAGCCTTTGTGTTAGCCTTATTGTGTGCACTGGCCCAGGGAAGCAGCTGGGTATGAAGAAAGGTGTGCAGACCCAGGCGGTACACGGTCTGCAAGTGTTTCAGTGCCCTCTGTACAGCCAAAGTGTAATATTAGGAAAAGGGAAGGTCTGGGCTAATAAAAGAAATTAATTTGTATCTCAGTAATTTAATGAAAATTATTTTTATTGTTTCAGCATAACTTGTGAGTTAACAATAGAACCAGTACCACAGTATATGGAATATTAAATAACTATTCCACAAATTTTTGAAATATTTGAACACTAAAACCAAACATACCTGTTTCCAAGTGACTTGCATACATTCATATTGAAGAAAATGAGAAGTTTAAAATTAAATAGCTTGTTGGCATCTATAACTATACTGTGCATTTGTTCCTGAATTATTCCAGGTTTCAAAAGTATTTGAAGTAAAAAGAACCATTAAATGTGACTAATTTCTATGTCATAAGACTCTCTAAAAATGCTATAAATTATTTTAGACGTTTAGGAGATTTAATTAGGTATATACGTCCATGATAGAGATTAGTAGCTTCATAAGCCAATCTGGAATTCTGTGGTTGAAACACAGATATTACAATTTCTCAAAAATGTGAGAGGTGTGTGTGTGTGTGTGTGTGTGTGTGTGTACAGTTTTTGAGCTTTTCATGTGAATTCAGTAAATACAATTGAAATATACATTTTGACCAGTGAAAAAACAAAATTCCTTCTTTCTACAAGGAATATGGTTTTTAAAGTTATAAAATTATACATGTATTTTCCCCCTAATCTTCCTTTTTTATTTGTGTAAAAATTAGAAGAAAGCATTTCATTCTACATAAAAATATGATAACATTTCAAATCTCACATTTTTATTGGCTAGGTTCCATTTTTTGAAATATTAAAGTATGTCTCATGAAATATTTTATGATAAAAGTTTAAACTGTTAAACATTAATCTATTCAGTTAAATATGGCATATTTTTTAAACTACAGTTGTAAAAATCCAAGGTTTTACTTTTAGAAGATTTAGAATCATTTTGGGATCATTTCGCCAATGTTTCACTTCTTTCCCATGCTGTTGTCGGTGATCTTTACTTTGCTATTTGGAGTAGACTAAATATGCTCAAATTTGCCTTTTCCATGCTGGAGACACTTAAATTCAGGTGATGGGTGGCAGTGTGTGTACATTTAGACATCTGAAAGTGATAGCAGCAATCAGGGAGCTGCCTTTTCCTTTGTCACTTAACCTGGTGTCTTATTGTTTTCTATTACTAATATAAAATATCACAGACTAGATTAATAGAAATTTGGGCTCACAGTTCTGGAAGTCCAAGGTCAGTTGACAAGCCACATCTGCTGATGGCCTTCTTGCTAGTAGATCCCTGAGGTGGCACAGAGCATCATATTGCAAGGGATATCGAGCAGGTATGTGTGCACTCTGGTCTCTCTTATTAAGCCACCAATTTTCAGTCATTGGGACCCCACCCCGATGGTTCTAATCTTTTGTGTTTGCTGAACCAAGAGTAAACTCCTATCTGCCAGCTCCAAGGTAGAGTAAGTGCTTCTGCCATCACATCCGTGGTGTAGGCTGCAGTCTGAAGAAAGGTTGAAAACGATATTCAAAAGGCATAGATCAGGGGATTTAGCTCAGTGGCACTGCGCTTGTCTTGCCAAGCGCAGGTCCTGGGGTTTGATCCTTGGTACCAAAAAAAAAAAAAAAAAAAAAAAAAAAAGA